TAGCTGAACCTCATCTGGGCACTTCCAAACCTGATACAAAGAGGAGGAATTTGCAGATCTCTCTGTAGCTCCTGCTAGGTGGCCCCAGACAGTGGCTGAATTTGCACCTCCCTGGAGACCCAAGAGCCTGTGTACCCAGTGGTCAGTGTCAGACCATACCAGATTACAACTCTACACATCCAGAAGCAACACACTCAAGGGGAAGACTCAGTGAGCACCAAAACCCCACTGAAGCAAGTCCTGCTCCATAGGGGTGTCTCCTGAACAGCAGCTCTCCCATGGCAGTCACAGCTGGTCCTCACAGCCAATTGGCCTGGAGGTCAATTCCTTCCAGTGACACCAACAGCAATCAAGTCTCAACTACAACAAGACTGTGCACACAGCCCACAAAGAGGTGCACCTGGAGTTCCCAGCTCAGGTGACTGGGGAGGCTGAGCCATTGGGCCCTATAGGACACCTACTATACAAGGGCCACTCTACCAACTCAAGGAGACATAGCAGCTCTCTACCCAATACATAGAAACAAACACAGGGAAACAGCCAAAATGTGGAGACAAAGAAACATATCACAAATGAAAGAAATGGAAGAAAGCAAACTACTGGATATAGAGTTCACAACCATGGTTATAAGGTTACTAAATAATCTTTAGAACAGTGGTTCTCAACCTCCTGGCCCTTTAAATACAGTTCCTCATGTTGTGACCCAACCATAAAATTATTTTCGTTGCTACTTCATAACTGTAATGTTGCTACTGTTATGGATCGTAATGTAAATATCTGATATGCAGAATGGTCTTAGGCGACCCCTGTGAAAGGGTCGTTCAACCACCAAAGGGTTCGCGACCCACAGGTTGAGAACTGCTGCTTTAGAAACCTCCAAAAAAAAAATAAAAAATAGAAAAGGACCAGTCAGAAATTAAGCATACACTGACTGAAATAAAGAATAAAATACAGGGATTCAACAGTAGAGTAGAGATTCTGAGAATCAAATCAACAAGTTGAAATATGAGAAAGCAAAAAACACCCAATCAGATGAGCAAAAAGAAAAGAGAATCCAAAAATAAGAAGATAGTGTAAGGAGCCTCTGGGACAACTTCAAGCATTTCAACATTCACATTATTGGGGTGCCAGAAGAAGAGAGAGAGCAAGATACTGAAAACCTATTTGAAGAAATAATGACAGAAAACTTCCTCTAACTGGTCAAAGAAATAAACTTAACACATTGTTTGCGGGTAGTTTTTATCGCGCGCGCTAACAGGTGGCGCGGGCCATTTTTGCAGTTGAATAGATTGATTACCATTATACCTGGAAGTACATACATAATTCACCATTGTATGTGTTAGAGACCCAAATTTTGTCCTTTGGAATTCGTATATCTCCATGTTAGCATCCCTTTAGAGCAATAAAAAAGTATAAAAATAAACGTATTTATATGTTACCCGCATTCTACCGCTAGTCTATAAAAAACGTATTAATACGTGTCCCGCACTCTACTACCAGTCAACGTAAAACGTATAAATATGTTTCCCGCATACAATGTGTTAAAGTCCAGGAAGCACAGAGAGTCCTCAACAAGTGGAACCCAAAGAGGACCACACCAAGACACATCATAATTAAAATGCCAAGGGCTAAAGACAAAGAGAGGATCTTAAAAGCAGCAAGAAAAAAAGCAATTAGTTACCCACAAGGGAATGCCCATATGACTGTCCGCTGATTTCTCGACAGAAACTATGCAGGCCAGGAGGGAGTGGCAAGAAATATTCAAAGTGATGAAAGCAAGGACCTACAACCAAGATTACTCGCCCCAGCAAAGCTATCATTTAGAATTGAAGGTCAGATAAAGAGCTTCGCAGACAAGAAAAAGCTAAAGGAGTTCATTGCCACCAAACCAGGATTATAAGAAATGCTGAAGGGTATTCTTTAAGAAGAGGAAGAAGAAGAAAAAGAAAAAGACCAGAAATATGAACAACAAAATGGCAACAAATACATACCTATCAACAATTGAATCTAAAAATCAAAATAAGCCCTAACCGGTTTGGCTCAGTGGATAGAGCGCCAGTCTGCAGACTGAAGGGTCCCAGGATAGATCCCGGTCAAGAGCATGTACCTTGGTTGCGGGCACAACCCAGTAAGGAGTGTGCAGGAGGCAGCTGATCAGTGTTTCTCTCTCATTGATGTTTCTAACTCTCTATCCCTCTCCCTTCCTCTCTGTAAAAAATCAATAAAATATATTTTTATTAAAAAAATAAAAATAATAAATGAGTAAGAAATCTAATGAACAGAATAAACTGGTGAATAAAACCGAATCAGAGGCATGGAAATGAAACAGACTGATGATTCTCAGAGGGAAGAGGGGTGGGTAGGGGCGGGAAGAGATTAAACAAAGATCTTATATGCATATATGCATTACCTATGGACACAGACAATAGGTTGGTGGAAGCTAGGGGTGAGGGGGGAACTGGGTAGAAGGGGACAATGGGGGGGAAAAGAGGGACATTTGTAATAATCTCAACAATAAAGATGAAAAAATAATTAAAAAAATAAAAATAAAAGTCCAAGACATTTAAAAAAACAAACAAACATGGTAAGCCTTACATAAATAGAGTAGGCCTATGTGTCTCCTAGCTGTCCACTGAGGTATATTCAACTGCCAATAGCAGCATGTGAAAAATACACTCATGCTCTCTCCCCTAAAACCTCCTTCCTGTCATCATTTGTAAGTGATGACACTTCCATGCCATCGTTTTGTTCCCCGCCCCCAACATCCTTTGGAGTCTCTCCATTATCGATTACCTTCGGCCACCATCACCTTTCCAAACTGATCCGCCTGCATCCTGTTGGTCTCTGCAGGCACAGAGTGATCTTTCCAGAGTTCAAAGCCAATCAGACCACTTTCTTGCCTAAAACTCTTCAGTGGTTCCCATCCTTTTACAATAAGGTTTGAGCTCCTTCACCAGCACATAATACTCCATGATCTGACCTCCAAGCATCACTTGAGCTTCTATCTTAACATTCCCAGGAATGCCTTTCCCATCTTATCCACCTCTAAGGGCTGGCCACATACTCAAGTCCCTTGCAGGCCCCAAATCCCAGGCTACCCTCACCTCTGAACCTCTGCACTGCTGTGCCCTTTATTCTAAAAGTTCTTAAATTAAAATGATTTGTGCAGTTATGCGTGAGAGTATGTATCTCTGTATGTATACAAGAAAGCACAGGCATAAAAATTTGCATGTGATTTTGACAGTATTTATAAGTCTCCTCAAAACCAATTTCATGCCCCACTTTAACCCCTTCCTTAAGGTATAAGCAAGCTTATAGCTGATATCAAAAAGTTCTGAAATTTATCATTCAATGAGTTTTTGCACACAAAAGCATATATGAATTATCCGTATCAATAACCAATATCAACTATATTATGAAACTGGACTGCTCTCCACTGCCCTTCTTCCCCCAAAAAAGTTAGTTCAATTATCAACTTCAAGTTGGTTTCCCTGAGAAGGGGTTACCCTAGTGGAAAACATCCCTTCACCGTTTGGAGAACAGCCAGTCCTTAGAATTTGAATACTTTTGCCTTATAAGAATGTCTGAGCATGTTGTTAAAAAAAAAATTGGATGATATTAGATGAACAGCTGTGCAGAAAGGGGAATGTAAAAATAAAAACTGCATGTTGGAGCATCAAAATAGTAACCATGTACAGTATATGACTGTTTTTAATCAGATGAAGATTGAAGCTATTACATTTCAAATCAAATGTTATAAATTAGTTCAAGAATGCAGCTGAGCTCTCATTTAATTAGAAATGTCCATGTTTAAATCATGAGCTACAGTAGCTGCCAATGAAGCAAAAGGGCAGGGGAAGGGAGAGCTCTTGTGTCCAGACCCTCCGATTGTTGACTGTCTCCTTTGCAGGACGCACATCTGGGCAGACTCGTCCTGATGTAATGAAGAACTTCGTGTACTAGCTAATTTGAGATTTAATGTAATTGAACATAATTGTTTTGAAGACAATTAAAATCATTATTCTGCCCTGGACATCTATGAACTCTTCTTTTTTGTGTGAAACATATTTTCCCCCCCCCATGTTAAATTTTAACTCTTTCTTGGGTAAAAAGTAAAGCACATTTCGGGCCAAGATTTCCCTGCGAAGCAATCCTTCGACTGTCAGGTCATATTAAAGTGCAGTACAACAGTGAGTTCTCCTTTAGAAACAAGTCTCATTTCCTATTCCTGGTGCCTGATGCAGCTCAGCCAGGGTCCAGACCTACATCCCAAATGTGAGACGATTCACTATTAAATAAAAATGAGGGACTTCTGAGGTCATACAGAGAAGAATGCAATTATCCGAAGGCGGCCTTTCCCCCACAGGTTATGAGCCCCTGTGTGCCGTAATTAACCGTGGCGCAGCTAGACAGTCCAGGCAAAGGGTCTTTTTTTTCTCCCAATTTGCCTAATTCCAAAACACCTCAAGTGACATAGCTCAAATTTTCCAAATTAAACTCACCCCTGGGGCTGAAATCAAGCCTGTGACAGTTCAGTTCTAAAGAAAATCTTAAAGAGAGTCCTGCACAGGGAGAGAAAAAAGTCAGGGGAAAAGGGGGTAGGAGTTAACATTTAAGTGGTTTTCAACCTCATCATTATCCCTGCTCAAGAAAATAAGACACAGATGGGCAAAACACAGCATCGTCCTGCCCCAAAGAGTCTAGGAGCTCATTAGAAACTACTGTTGTTTCCTCGTGGTCCACCATGAATTCGGAAGGGACAAGTGACTGATGTGCTGCATCCCACAGCAGTCAGCGCTCCCGTGCCCCGGCGTGGACACTGGAAGGATGCCACAGAGACACGATGGGCCACTGCAACCCAGGAAAGCTTACTGTTCAGACACGCCCTCAAGGTAGACCTTTCCCGGGGAGCTGAGGAGCGCTGACATTGTCAGGAGCTGCTCTGCTTTGTAAAATGGTTTCTGTTAAGAAATAACACACAGCCCCAAGCTTTCTCTTACTTCTGGCCACAGCTCCACACTCTTCCACTGACACGCCGGCGAGCGGGTAAATGGGGATCAGGTCCACGGCTCCCAAACACGGGTGGATCCCCTCTTGAGCCTCCATGTCAATAGACCGGAAGGCCTCCACGCAGGCAGCCAGGACAGCATGGTCTTAAAAGGTAAAATTGTACAAAACAATCACTCAACTTTCAAACACAGTAAAGAAGCAGCTATATTTTAGTGTCCCACTAGTTGTTGTTGTTTTTTTGTAATCTGTATAGAAGATGATTTTCACCCAAAATAAAGTAAAAGATCCAACATTTCCCCTTGCCCTACCTCCCAATCATCATAAAAGTTCACATTTATTCCCCAAAGTAGAGGAGTTATGCAATGTTTATGATTCTTAAACACCTGTGGGCGTGTGTGTGTGTGTTTTATTGATTTCAGAGAGGAAGGGAGAGGGGGAGATAGAAACATCAATGATAAGAGAGAATCATTGATTAGCTGCCGCCTACATGCCCCCTACTGGGGATCAAGCCCGCAACCTGGGCATGTGCCCTTGACCAGAATCAAACTTGGGAACCTTCAATTCGCAGGCCAATGCTCTATCCACTGAGCCAAACCAGCTAGGGCACCTCTGTGTTTTTTTACAACTGGTTACTTTAAATGTTTTCAACTTTATCAAATTAATCTGATAAAACTTTGTATTTTCAGAATGCTTTATTAATTTTTATTAAAATATATACACAAAGTTTTAAAAGCATAACTATTTATTTTAGTTTTCCTCTTCTCCAGTAATTAGATTTTGCATTCAAAGATTTTATTTCATCTAACTACATATGATGGATACCTAAGAGTTATGCTATTACCCTGAGTTTTCATTAGCAGTACAGAATGACCATTTCAACAAGAAAGATAAACAACAAAGAAGCAAATTTACCATCTTATGATTAACATTCAAGATAATTTGTCCTGTTTGCTGGGAGCTACCAGCCAGCGCTTAGTTCTTCAAACAAACATACCTTATGAAAAAAGACAATCTGAGTTGAAATAAAGTCTATTTAAAAATATTATGAGACCTTTGTAAGCAATATTAAGATAATACAAGTTTATGTTCAAACAGTTATGATCCTTCAAATTCAACTTGTCCCACTAAAACTTACATCATGAGACATTTCATTTCAATCCGTGAACCAACTCAAGATTTCAGGCTCCCAACCCAAAACACAACTGCTTAGCATGTTTCATTCTATGCCAACTTATCACTGAAATCAAGGCTGACTTCAACACTATGACTCCACAGGTTAAAACTTGAAGATTGTTTTTCTTATCCATAAATGATACGTGACCATCTTCAGGGGGGGAAAGGTATTATTCTTGGACCCAAGATTCATTGTAACGAAGAGGAAATGGGAAATGTTTGAGGTGTGTATGTTCAGAAAAATGATGAAATGCATTTTTGAGGTAGACTCTCCAGGTAATGGACTATTCCTACGGCACAGGAAATCAACGAGTAGAGAGCATGCAGGCCTACCTGAAGCTACCCTTCATTATAGACATAGATATAGATAGATAGATAGATATATATATATAGATATATATATATATATCTATATATATATATATGAAGAAAGAAACTGCGGTCTCACTTAATTCATCAACAGAAGCTGCTATGGTAATGACTGATCTGTTGTAGTCTTGATCAGAAAATATATTGAGCACTGATACTTCAGGACGTTTCTTCCCTGTAAAGGAAAAAAATATAAAGGCAAGAATTATTTTTCTCTGCTGAAGCCTTAATACTTTACTTCTTTGGATACAATTATATTTGTTCAACAGAGAAATTTCGGGGTTGTGACCTTTGAGGTGACACTGGCTAATCATGACGTTCCTGGGTAGTAACGCCCACTCCTTACGGCGCCTTCCTATGTAGCTGGACGGCTCAGCTCGGACACGAGGCTTTGGTGTCTCTCCACTCAAAGATGGCAGCCTCTTCTTTCAATTGCCACGCTGTGTCGCTCCAAATCCCGTTCCCTCTCAGTCGCGTCTTTCAGGCCTTATCAATTTTTCCTTCCTAAACCCAGAAATCAACCTGTCTGGATAAAAAGCTGCCATCTGGAGAAACTAGGATGGGCCAATTAGTGCCTGAAGCAGAGGTTTCTGGGATGCATGCACCTGCCTGTTGGAGACGCTCCGACCCCAACACCTCCTTAGAGGCCACCCACAGCCCTCAGATGTTAATGGCTTCCAGCCTCCCGTGGCCTGTGACTGGGTGATCACGTAACCCGGAGGAGAAAGCTGCCCTGCCCTGCCCTGCCCTGCCCGGCACGGCAGCCACACATAACCCCACATTATTTCTGAAGTTTACAAGCCTGGTCCAGGCCCCTTAAAAGTCCCCCTCAAGCCTGCAAAAGCAAATTCAAAGAGAAGGACAAAAGTTTTCAGGCGGTAATTAGATCGTTCGCCATGCCATTATACCTTTGTCCCCCCACCCCCACCACCCCCAATCCCCTGGCAGCTTAACAATTAATCTTTTCAGAAGAGAGGAAAAATAAGTTGCATGCAGGCACGACAGAGCTTACAGCAGCCCTATGCCATTAACTTTAATAACTTGAAAAGATAAACTTAGAGTATGTCACTTGCTCTTAGCCAAATGAGCATCTATACAGCCCTGCCCTGGTGTAGGTCTAAAGTTTATAACTCAAGTTTCTTTCCCTGAGACCTTTTAGGCCACTTAAATGTGTTAACATTACTTAGTTAGGAAAATTATAGGTGTTACGGTTTATTCCACTTGCTGAAAAATAAATGCCTTTAAAGTATTTGTAAAACAATAGGTCATTTTCTTAGCTAGTGCTACTTCCTTGCATTTTCATAACTATAAAAGATGAAGCAAGAACCAGACCAGACAATCTCCTTTTTACTGTGATTTTATTTTTCCATCCTAAGTCTTCTTCTGAAAAGCTTTTATTCTCAGTTTCATCTGACTCAATTGAATCAAATGCTGAGAGAATGAAACACTTTCTCCTGCAATCTCTCCAGCATGCAGAGAGAAAAGAACGGCTGCTGGCAGGAGGAGCTGTCGGGCTGCCTCTCAGCAGAAGTAAATTGTTTGGTGTCTGTAATGGAGTATAATAGCTATAATTCCATTTGAGCTGCTGCCACTAATAAGCTGATAAAAACTGTGAGTGAGACAAGGTATCCATCAGTGTGTGGCTTCCCCAAATGTCTCGGCGCATTCATTTAATCACAGAGACAGGTAACCCGATCCCATTAGATGTGCTTGTCTGACAATGAGGGGCCGAGCGGGCTATTCCCTTCCCACAAAGAGAATGCAAGAGCACAGCTGGCTGACTCCAGAGGTTTCTTTCTTATCAGCAATTATCAGGAATTTTCGTAGACACTTCCAGCTCCTGTACAGTTACAAGACAGTAATTTAAATGCGCTCATCGTTAGAAATGGGCTGAAGGAAACACTTGTTTCTCATGAAAAGCAGGAACGAAACGAAAAATGACGATCAGAAATGACAATACACTGTCTGAAATGCTTCAGGGCTAGGGGCCTAATGCTCGCCTGCTGCCAAAAAAACTTCATTTAATAACAAAGTTTTCTATTTGAACAACTGTGTGTACACTCACTGTGTTGTCTGTGTGTATGTGTGTGTGTGTACATGTATGTGTGTAAAAACAAATGATGCCTAGAACTATGTCATCACATGAACACTTCAACAAGAGTAAAAAATTTAAAAAAAATGAAAAAGGAGAGTAGTATCTCGCATAGTAAACACTGGCCCAGGGAGCAAGGAGGTTTGGGCTCCAGACTCCTGAATTGCTAAGTGATCTTACGCGCATCACTTAAATGCAATTGCCTAAAAGCCTTTCTTTATAGGGAAAATAGGTAACAGAAATAATAGTGCTGTAATGATAGCAAGGGCTTTGCTGGCAGGAGTGCTTTGAAAAGTGGTTGGTATTTGGCAAGTTTATTTTTTATGTAACCTGCTGAATAAAAAGCAAAATGCCCAATTATGCTCATTCTATTAATGACCAAATAAATGGCCTGTGAGGGGGACATTTAACCTTTATGTAACTACATCCTCCTCTCATTCTCCACTATCCCTAACTGCATGGCGGAGCGCAGGCAGGCGTCTGGAAAAGACCCATGTGCACATCTGCCTAACTGCTCTACCTCAGTATCCTGGAGGCCTGCTACAGCCCAGGAACGGGGCGGTGGTGGTGGTGGGGGGAGCCCACAAAGAAAGAAGAGTGTTCTATAGATACTGTCTGCAGAGCACAAAAATTACCGTATCATCAAAACACTACATAGCCACTTCAATTGTCTGTTGTTCCTACCATTTTCCCCAAGAAGAGCTGCTTTTGCGATGTTCTCAACGACGTGTTTCCTCCTGGCTTCTGAGATGTTTAGTAAACAGGCAGCCAAACGGAGCCCCAATCTGGAGGAAGACATGCTGGTTTTTCCTAGAATGGGAGAAAAAGGAGTCTTCATTTCCACCTCTACAGTTCATTCAAACAATGTTCATGTTTATTAACCATTAAAAGAATCATAGCTCTTTGGAAACCAGTTAGTCATAATATTAACACGTCACTCTCTCACTCCTTAGGGAACACCTGAATAATAAGACCCTCAGGGAGACTCCTCACGAGACTGTGTATGTGGCCACGCACAGATGAACACAGTAGCAACACTGGAATACTAGTATATCCTTCAAGTTACTCAGCCTGAATTCTGTCGTGCAAGTGAAACTTCCATTAAAGTATATTATTCCCTTTTAAGCACAGTCTTCCTCAGCTTTTCCCTGTTTTCCGGGTCTTCTCTGTGTAACCAGTAAGCATGATCCTGTTGTTAAATGAGACTTACCAAAAAAAGAGGAATGAAGGAGATTATTTAATATGCTGATTCCTACAAAAAACGATTCCTCTAGCAAAAAGAAATAAAGGGGCTCACGTAGGGGCTTTACATGACAACTATCTATGTTCCTCTGGCACTTTGATCTCCAAAGTTTCTAAATCAGTGGCAAACCTTTCCACAGGACTCTGGACCTTGAACTGTGAAAGCTGACATGTACTCTGGTATGCCACTCAGTAATGCCGAGAAAGTGACTGATTCTTTCACTGAAAATGGATTAATTTCACACGCTTTAGAAGTTGCTTTGATGCTCTTTAGGACTCCAGAAAGGCATTTTTCAACCCATTATCTTTCCATACCTCAGATGATATGACGTGAGGAAATTTCAATAACTCAAAATAGTAACAACCCCCCCCCCCCAACCCTTTTTGAGACCAGGCCATCCTATTGCGGCCTTTTAACATATCATATCGAAAAATGAACGCAGCCCTCATGACCTCATGCAACAACTACTTGACTAAGGTCACTTGGTGTCAGGCAATGGTCTCCGTGTGGGGGATGCTTCAGGAAAGGGTGGTCTCCTCTGAGACAAACATTAAGCCTATGAGTTTAAGCTAACCGTGCTGGGTGCCAGTTAGTGCTCTCCACGCATAAATCCACCGGCAGCCGGACACTCGGGGTGGTGGCCTAACCATCCTAGCCTAAAGGAAGCGCAGAGCTCATGGGTAGCTCAGGCTTTTGTAGTGACCATCACCGCATCGGAAATTCATAGAAGACGCGGTCATTAGGCTCTTCTGGAGTAGACATTAGTAACATCGCTGTATTAAAGCAGCTCAGACCTCTGGTTCTCCTGTAAACAAAAAATTGCTTTACACAAGGGGCGTGGGCGTCTTCTGGCTTTCATTTGTTTTCGGTGTGTTTATGTAGCTTAATTGTCTCATCAGGCACTTTCCCAACCTAATTATGCTTCTTAACAAATGGTGTTTATGGCAACCCCTAACAGTGCAAGGGAAAGGATTAGTTTCATCTTCTCATTCCACATCTGATTCCCTGTGGACAGCTAAATCACACAAAGATGGTGCTGGGGAAACCTACCTTCCCAGCACACGCTGGAATGAGCGGCTGCACCAGGCTTTTGGAGAGCGGTCAGGCTTGTTAGTCCAGGGTAAGCACTGCTCCCTCCTCCTCTAACCCAGGGACCCGGAGCCAGCCCTCCCAACACTCGGGAGAGGGGAGCCCAGACCGCCCACCCTTTCAATCCCCGTGCGGTTCGGTGACGCCCGGCGACAGACCAGACCCTGGCTCGCCGGGAGGTGCTGGCAGGGCCGGTGCGGAGCGGAGCAGCTGGCGAGGGGCCCGCACGCACCGCCGGGAGCACTTTCAGGGCCGCAGAGGGAGCCGCGGGCCAGGCGGCAGCGGGTGCTGGGGCTGGAACTGCGGCTGGGACCCCCGCGCGGCCCCGCCCCGGGTCCTGCGTGGAGCGTCCCAGGGCCACGCGGGCCCGAGAGTAACCCAGGGGCTCGGCAAGACTCCCGGCCGCCCGAGCCCGGTCTGTGGTCTGCGAGCGGCCCAGCCAGGGCCCGGCTCGAACCCGTGGCCGCGAAGCCGCCCTGCGGGTTTGGGAGGGAACCGACCTGCGCGCGGAGGGGAGGGCGGCACCGAGCCTTAATCGCCGCAGTCGCCGCGCGTGGCCGCTGCTTCCGCCGCCAGCCCCGCCTCCCGCCCCGGCGCGCTCCTGCCTGCGTTCCCTCCAGGGCCGTGACCGTGACCCTGGCCCGGCCTCGCCCGCGCGCCCGGGCCCGGAGAGCTGGACGTCCTTGTTGGCACTGCCCGCCGGCCGCTCCCGCTCCGTGGGGAGCCTGCACAGTTCCCTCCGGGAAATGACTGCCTCGCTAGGAGGGCAGCGGGATCCAAAGGCGAGGCCATCCCCCTGGACCAGGCTCCTGCGGGGGCTCTCCCCGGGGCGCGCGCACAAACTCCCCAGGTCCAGTTCCCCTGCCGCGCGCACCCGTGAGAGGGAACGGACGCCCTGGGACCAAGCAGTGCTTGCACCTGACCGGTTAGCCCAATACCACTGTGAACCTAGCACTAGGCATTCCCTTTTTTCTAGGCCAGTGAACTTGGGAGAACACATTTCTCTTCCAAAAATTCAGGACCTGTGTGTGTGTTTTTTTTAATGCAGCAACCATTAAATGTCACCATTTTGATCCAATTTCGTTTCTAAACTGCAATAATCACTAAATAACGACTTTGACAGAATAAATTAATTTTTAAATCTATTTTTTATTTTCTAATTATACTTTTTAAATACAGATTTGAGGAAATTAACATTTATGTGGACATTTGGTTTCTAGCCTAATGTGGCATAAAAATAAGTAACATAATGAGTGCTAAAAAAAATCAGGTTCACGATGCTTCTCACATCATCATCATTGTACTTAGATGTCACAACAGTATTATGTGCGATTGTGTCAGATCCTGCCTTCCCCATCTCGGAGTGTTGGCAGGTAGGAGGGTTGTTGGCAAGAGGCGGGGTGTTAACCTCAGGATCCTGGATCCATTCCAAGGCTGGTAATTACATTCTGCCAGCCAAAATTCATCCCATAATTTTAATTGGATAAATCCTTTCTGGCCTAAGCTACTGCTATGCCTGTCAAACTGTTGCCACATTTCACCCCAGAGGTGTCTGTGTTTTAGTAGCAAGAATCAGTCCCTTTGAGGTTGGCTTATCAGTTTAAATCCTCAAGTGCTTTGGGATCCTATGGAATTAAGTATATATTTAAGCATTTTCCCTACTGAATCTGCATAGACATGTATAAAATAGACATATAGTCGTGTTAATACCTAAAAACCAATACCCATCTAATGTCAGCAGATAATTTTGAGAGCTTTTTAATCAGATCCATGTCCCTAACTTTCTCTTCTTTCCTTTTCAGAGCTTTTATTACCTAGGGCTTTAGCTTCCAATTTCCAAAAAGTGTCCAAAGTTGACTTCCATGGAGGACGACGGAACGGCAGCCTGTGTACTTCGTGTTTGCAGACAATCCTATGATGAGACTACTTGCTAAGATGAAAGACAGAGCAGTCCCATTATATCTGGTCTTCGCGTATGCCCCAGAGGAAAGTGTGACCACTAGGGCCTCACGGTTCTGGCTGTAGTGAATGCCGAATGCCAGAAGTCAGACTTCTCCCCACTTCTAATCCTGTGAGTCTCTCTCCCTCCAGGGCTCCCGGGCATGAGTAAGTGCGAACACCCGGGAGTTAGTCAACCTCAGTCCCTTTCCCCACTCTGCTCTCATCAAACACAAATGGAGAGAAAGCAGGCCTCCAGGTTCTTTATGGAGGGGCAGCCACTGGCCCTGCCTAAGGACTGTCAGCGTGTCTTTTGGGACGAGACAGGAGACAGATACCAGCAAGTCTGACGAGAAGTTCAGCAATAGATTGAAAGTGCCATTTTGTTCTCTTCAAGAACAGAAAGGTGCCTTCGGCTTTAGTTGAGCTCTACCACGCGTGACCCTGCCCATTCCGTGATTTAAAGAGCTGTGTGTCGGATTTCCGGTATCTGTACACCAAGCCTCTCATTTTTATATGACTTAGCATGCTCTGCAGTTCTTCATGCTTTTGGGGTGAGTGTGTAACTCTCCTCGTTTCTCCTGCTAAATCCATGCTGAGGACATGGATGCCTGTGTCACTATGGTTCCTGTCCATACACAGAAGCCACAGCCAGTGTCAACAGCTATGAGAGCTGTTCCCTGACATTCCCAGGGGTTCCCCGGGAGACCAAGAGGATGCTTGTCTGCACCCTTCCCTCCATGTGTGCAAGCAGGAGCCGTGGTTCCTGTGGGAGCCTTCCCTGGCCCGTCAGAGCTGAGGTGGTGGGAGCGAAGGTTGTGCTCCAGTGGGGCTCCAGGCTCCGCTGGGACCCAGAGCCCCAGTGCCGGAGCAGAGCTGGGACTAGTGAGATACATTTTGGGACCCAAATTTAAGTGGGGGCCAAAAAACTCAGTAATGCAATACCTTAAAAACCAACATGAATGCAAAGTTAGAAATCCACGGTGAACACAATAGCAGAATTTTAAATAAAGACTGGCTCATACCCTGCAGTTGCCAACTTCGTCTCCTCGCCTCACCCTGATCCCTGCCCAGTGGTTGCGGTCCCCTTTGTGCCAGCCCGTTTCTGATTGTAGGGTTGAGAGGACACTGCGCCGCTCGGCTCTGCCTGCATCCTATCTTCGGGCCCCCAAATGGGCAACAAAACCAGAAATGTCAAGGGTGGAAATTTCCAGGCCAGTGGATACATATAATTTATAGTCTGTTCAAGGAGTTCCATATATATTCAAATTGGCCAACTTATCTTACAAGAAGGCAAACCCTTACTAAAATGAGCAAAATAACTCTACTCACCTAATACATTTCATTACCTATTTACCTGAAACAATTCAGAATATGGGTACAGTGTGGGTGCCTTTATTCTTGGCCGTAGGCACTGAATGAATGAGGGGTCGCCGAGAGCCCCTCTCCAAAGCTGGGTTTTTTATAGCTACTAACCATATTGCAGATGAAAAGCAATTCCTAAAACTAACTTAGAATCTTTGCTGAAAATTTAACTTATAGGACTACATTAAGATAATTTCTAAAACTATTGCAATTCACAAAATCTATCTTATGTCCAGAAAAAATGCTGGGAATGTTTAGAAACATTTTCCCCTTAGGAACATAAATTTTCATTGGCTCATGAGGTTTTTATCAATAAATATTTACTTGAAAGATTGTAACCAGTGGATAAGAACTGCCAAATTGCAGGCAGAACCACGACAGGTATTGTGACGGTGCACATGTAGGCACTTCTGGACTGTGGTTACTTCATGTCCTATTATATGCAGGTGACTGTCAGCTCTTAATTGACAGGGAGGGGGTCACCTCTTGTATGAACAGGAGTCGGAGACCCTGAAGAGAAGCGCCCAGTGGCTGCACGGCCTCATCCACTGTGCTCCCAGCCGTCCTGGCCTTGAACAGCCCCCTTCTCAAGAACTACTTCCGCTCTTGGGCGGGTCTCCAAGCTCGGTCTCTGCAGGACATTCAAATGGAAGGTTTGAGTAAAGGTTTTCCTGTTGGTTTGTTTGTCTTTTACTAACTATCTCAGGGTTTGAAGGGATTTAACTTTTTACATTTATTTTCATTACACTTAAATAGAAAATGTCTAATTTCTTAGGAAGAGGTGGGCAAGTTTAATTTTTGGGTACTGTTGTTTTTAACGTTTTCTTTACCCTACTTTGTGCCTCAGTTATTATGCAATCTTTTTAGCTTGAAGTTCTGTGTTTTTGGAAAGAATCTGAAAGTAAACGTGTATAGAAGCTCAGCTCAGAAGGGATCTTAGAGATCATCTGGTGCCTCCTCAGGACCGTTGCTCATGTGTGACCTGGAACAGACTAGCTAGAGGTGGAGGCAGAGCTTGGGAGAAAGCAGGGTAGAGGCTGAGTCCCGCATCCTACACTTAACCCCCCACCCCCCACCCGCTACTGCTTCTTCTGTGGCCCCTCTGGGAACCCTAAGGTGCCTTTGCAAACCACTGACTAGTTCAACCCCTCTTCTGGTGCCTGTTACCCTTTTTATAACATCGTGCAAGGTTATCATCTTTTGAAGATGAACTCTCTATCTTGACACGAGTCCATGAGCTGTTTCAAAATGCAAGCACTGTGGGAAATCCACACTACTTTTCAATTACTGGGTGGGTTTTGACGATCATTTTTGTGAAGGAAAGTAAGTATGGATGGGTATTCATATCTGAAAGAATCCATCCGAGGCTTTAATTAATACCTGAGGGAATGTGGTGCAGAAACAGAAGGATAACAATTTGGGAGAAGGAGAAACAAGGATTCAAACAGATGCAATCAAATAGAGCAGACAGATAGTCAGACAACAGGCAAGGGTGAAAGTGGTCAGTTAGTGCCACTATCCAGTTCAGGAGACTGTAATACGGCCTGCCCTTCTCAGTGCCTCTGTTACTTTTAACATCAGTATTTTCACTTCTCTATTCGGGGCAAGAGGATGGCCATTTTCCTCGAAGGAGATTTCTGTGTTTTAATTCAGATATGGAGCCCATTTTTCTTTTCTGCAACTCCCAACCCCCATCTAATTTTTTTTCTTTTTAATCTTAGACCATTTTATCTCTGGGCTCAAATTCTGAATGACAACTGAACTGGTTTATAGCAGTGGTTTCAGCTACCTATATATTTTAAAGCTGAATTTAAATTATAAGTATAAACATACTAAATGAAAAATATATATAAGAATATATTTTATAAATCACAATCAAATTATATCAAATATTCACTTGATAGTTACTAATTTTACTCAAGTAAAATCCAAACAGTTGTTAATTATGGGATTTTCTTCATTTATTAATGTAAAACATAAACTACTTCATTGTTTATTTCCCTGAAATCTAATATTTTTAAAGTAATTATTCAAATTATAAAATATATGTTAAACCACTTAGATCATCTGAAAGGTATTGATAAAAGTACATATAGTAGAGAAGGTTGAGAAAAAAATTCAAAAATTTATCCTGGGTGTAACCTAAAGTACTTATTGACATAGGAATAAACCAATAGGAAGACTGTATATT